TAAGCAGACTATGTTTAAGTTTAAAGTTTTAAGTTCTAATATCGATTTTTGAAATTTTGGGTGAAAATGCGATTTTTGAAATAACAAAAATTACAACAACAAAAAATTGCGTATTTGCCTTAAATCAATGGCTTTGATAAAAAAAAAAAACTCTCTGTAAATATTAGACCAATTGGGCAATTATTTACCTTGGTACAGTGTATCCAATTTCATTATACATGGAAAATACATTGCCTTGTATCGTTTCTTTTATTGACTAGTATATGATCATATATACGAGCACGAGAGTTAAAGTGGTACCAAAAACCTTGACTAAAATTAATTTGGCTCGTTTAATTTTCATAAAATTTTGACAAAATATTTACTTTAACCCTTTGACAAAAATATAAAAATTTTAAAAAAACTTGAACCACATACTTTATCGGAAAAATTTCATTGGATATAAAGCAGTTTGACAAACACTAATTTTGATCATTGAGAAGCTTAATATTTCCTTTGCAATAGAACGTGATTAAAACGTTAAGCTGTTTTTTAAAGTGTTATCTCCCTGTAGTATTATGTACGACCTTAATATAGATATGAATTTTAATTAGATTTGGTGGTATGGTATCCTGTTTCGGTTTCTTGTTTGCCATACTTATAAGAATAAGAGAGTATATAAATACCACGCCAACAACGATTCTATGAATAAATTTTCTATTACGGCAGTAATGTACCTTCCTTTGTCGGACTAATGGGGTGTCGGACTAATGGGGTGTCTGACCAATGGAGTGTCAGACCAATGGGGTGTCGGACTAATGGGGTGTCGGACCAATGGGGTGTTGGACTAATGGGTTGTCTGACCAATGGGGTGTCGGACTAATGGGGTGTCGGACCAATGGGGTGTCGGACTAATGGGGTGTCGGACCAATGGGGCGTTGGACTAGTGGGGTGTCGGAATATCGGGTCGAACCCGAAAATGATCGGTAGGTGAATGGCTGGTTGTGTATAGTCCTGCTTCAAATTTTGAACTCAGATAATTCTTAACATTATTTCCTGCTTTGACACAACATTTTCAGTCTTTTAGAATGACCCGCCATGATATGAACCACAGACCTCATACACTCGAAGAGACCAGGCTCCTCCAGACAACATTGAACATCAACTTTAGCTAGAGTTGTCTCCCATTTAACACTGTATTCTAGTATCAGTTATTTAACAATAATTAAATAACATAAAATTGTGTTATACAAATTATACGCCACTTGTCATGCTCAAACAACTTATAAATACTGAATCTGAACTTTTGACAGCTGCTGGTGACTATAAAGCAATCTTTAAACTGAGTGGCGAAAATAGGGTCCATGTTCATCAAAAGTTGCAATGCCATAACTATGCTTTTGTTTTATGTTTCACTTGTAATTCTTGACCGTTGTGTTATTACTGTGTTATATTTTGTGGTTTTGCTTGACCCGGTTGAGTGCAATTTGCAAAATAAAAGTACTAATATATTGAAACTCAATCGCCATGACAGTATATGTTGTCGATTTTCAGTCTTTCTGTATTATGTACGAACTATATCTACCATAAACTTAGTGACCATAATTTAGAAATAAAAAGGTCGCTATTATAAAATTCTTAGAAAGGATAGAACATGCAAACTCTGCAACTGGCTGGAGGATGAAAAACACTTCCTCCTTGAGTGAAATATGCAAACTGTGCAACTTGCTGGAGGATGAAAAACACTTCCTCCTTGAGTGAAATATGCAAACTGTGCAACTTGCTGGAGGATGAAAAAACACTTCCTCCTTGAGTGAAATATGCAAACTGTGCAACTTGCTGGAGGATGAAAAACACTTCCTCCTTGAGTGAAATATGCAAACTGTGCAACTTGCTGGAGGATGAAAAAACACTTCCTCCTTGAGTGAAATATGCAAACTGTGCAACTTGCTGGAGGATGAAAAACACTTCCTCCTTGAGTAAAATATATGCAAACTGTGCAACTTGCTGGGGGATGAAAAACACTTCCTCCTTGAGTGAAATATGCAAACTGTGCAACTTGCTGGAGGATGAAAAACACTTCCTCCTTGAGTGAAATATGCCAACTGTGCAACTTGCTTGAGGATGAAAAACACTTCCTCTTGAGTGAAAGATAACAAAAATCTAAAGAGATAATCTATTTAAAAATTGTGTTCCTACTCAAAACTTTAATGTCTCTTACCAATGAACAAAAAGAAAAAGAAATACTAAACCCCTCGATTATGGAAGATGTTTAAAATATTGGCTCCTTTATAAAACAGTCAACAGACCTGAGGGCAGAAGTCTTATATTTTTTTCCATGTGTTCATTTGTAATAAAATTGTTATTTTTTTTGCTATGTAATGTTTTGTTTTGTCACAAACTATATATGTTTATGTGACAATAAGATTATATCATAATGTCAGATACGGTGCTGTGTGAACGGAAAAAGAGTCGGAAAGTACGTGTTATTTTTTTTTTTAACAATCAAATTTACTTTCCCACCGTCGCAACATCATTTATAACAACAACAAAAATGTGTGCTTCCTTCTTTGTCAATTTACTGTGTTTTTTTCCTAAAAAATATTCTGATTCCCAATTTGATGAAAAAAAATATTGTGGTCAAGCAGATGACACAAAAAATATTCTGAATCCAGATTTTCCCCATACCTTATAATGTTAAATTTTGAAACAAATAATTTGATTGATAGCGTCGAAAAACTAAAAAAAAAATCTGACTGAGAACCCCCCCCCCAAAAAAAACAAACCTTGAAGTTAAATGGTTGCTCCCTTATGGTTCTGCTATTTTTTTTTGCCTGGAGTATATTGGTGTCCGAAATATCTACCAAAACTGTCATTCAAAACTTTAGGATTGATCGTAAAACCCAAAACACAATTATCTATGATATCTTTTTGTTATATTGGCCTTATATTCTGCAGGTATTCAAATAAGACGATCTTAACCATGTTAACCATATCAATGACAACAAGGTAATTTATGTAACATCAGTTCATATCCGAAGGATATTTAGAGGGCAGGGGCCTGCCCCCCCCCCCCCCCCCCCCCCCCCCACCACCACCACCACCACCACTTTTGTTGAGCTACGTATATGGTTAATGCATAGACTTTTTACATGTTCCACTCCCTATGTTGCGTAGTTCCCCCTTTCAAAATCCTGGATCCGCATCTACATTTGACCTCTGCTAAGCTAAAGGAATGATAACCCTCTCACATCGGGAGTATCTAAAAGTGGCTTGTTAGCAATAAATCGATCATTATATTTTATTTTTTAGCTGATGAATAATCAGATAATTGCACCTCTTCCCCACCCACCCCCCGAAATTAAATGAAACACGACAAGTGCAATATTGGACTCCCCCTCTTTCTTGTGACAGAAAAACAGATCCAATTCGATACCGGTAGAGGGCGCAGAATTATTCGAGTTATTTTCATCTTTGACTCTTAAAAATGAACTGTGATCATCAAGATCGGAACATCAAAGGGAATTACAACAGTTCTTTATATTATGTCAAACTCAACTGAAACTGTGCATGTAAGAAACTGAACGATAGTGTAAAACGAGACGAGACGAGAGAAAAAAAATTGAATGAATATACATCTAAAAAATAATATTATACAGAATAACATATTTGTGAAATTAAATGATTAAATGGCTGTATTAAAGGCAAATTATGTAGAGAATAAGAGACAGTTTATAATAAATATTGCAAAATAAATTTTATATACTTATTTTATCATTAAGATATTGTTTTACGAATAAAGACGTTATGTACATCACGACCTACGTATAATTGCACTGGGTCCTTTGGTTGTACATGTATTCTAGTTGGCATTTTAGTTTGGGCCACTCAAGTCAGTCCTTAAAACTGAAGGCCATCCGACAGAGCAATTTCGGATTAGAGACTCAGAACATTATTTATTTGTTAGTTTTGAAGAAACTTTCAGTGGCTGCGCGTGGCATCAGATCAGTTATTTGTGTCTTTTGTGTCTTTTGGTGTTGTTCTTATTGCATTTCCCGTCAATCTAATAAGTTGGGCCATTTCCAATTGAATTTTGCAGTTTGTTCTAGTTTTGTGCTGTTGCACCAGTGTGACTTTTCCAGGTTCTGTGAAGGGTTTGGCTCTCACAAACACGTTTAACACCGCCAGATTCTCATCTGCATGTGGTTGTCCCAAGTCAGGAGTCTTCTTGTATATTTCTGTTTAAAAGATAGGCGGAAGATACCAAGGGGATGTTCAAAACTCATAAGTCGAAGAAAAACTAACAACGCCATCGCAAAATAAGAAAAAAAGACGAACAAACGAAGAAGTTGATAAAACACTACATGGAAATTTAAGACTGAGCAAAACAAAACCTGGGGTGCACTTCTGAAGGTAATTAATTCCTGCTTTACATGTGGCACCCATCATGATGCCCATGCAAGTAAAAATCCGGTAATGTGAAGGTCATATTTGTATTTTTTTGTTTATTGTTTTACCATAAATTAGGCTCTTGGTTTTCTAGTTTGAATTGTTTCACATTTTGTCATGTCGAAACTGACTATATGATATGGGTTTTGCTCATGGTTGAAGGCTGTACGGTGTCCTTTGGCTACATACATACAGGTTATTTTGACTCGTCGAAAGATTTGTATTGGCAATCACATCACGTCTCCTTATTTTTATAACATAAGTTTACATGATGAGGCCCAGGCCAAGAAAACGATAATTGTATTTAGAAATTTTTAAGAAAGGAAAAAAAATGTAGAATATGTTATTATGGGCAATAGGGACCATTTGTCACAAAACTGTCAATTAAAACTTCATGCACTTTAAGGCATAAAAATAGACAGACAAGTAAGAACTTAAAGAGTTTTATATTTTGGTCCTATTTCATCCAATTATATACATTTCATGACGAAAATGTATTCCTAGGGGACAGAAATGTGCTTATTACGGTCCTAACTTAGAAAAAGAGGTATTGTTGCAAGAAGACAACTGTATTATTTGTTGTAAACTTTATTATTCCTTTTTTATAATCGTTTCGGTTTTAATCTGGATTTCCTCACTATTCATTCGAAATTTTACGTCATCATCTGCACTACTGTCCATACTTTCGTCTTCAAAATCATCGGGTAAGCCAGACAGATCTACAAAAGATCCACTATCTGCTATTTCTATACTGAGATCGCTAGAGCTTCGTTTTCGTCTTGCCTGTACTTTACCAAGTTTCTTATCCAGAAGATACTTCCTCCTATTTTGAAGAGCTTCCCTCAACCTAGTAAATATAGTATTTTGACTGGCTGATAACTGAGGAGCCAAAGAAACTATAAACTTGAAAAATTCTTTCTTTTGTGGAACATTGATTTCATGCAGACACGGTGCATCCTTCCATATACCTGCTGCATGTGCGGCATTTCTTATAAGTATTCCACCCAATCGTTGTGCTTCTGTTGGTTTGGCATAGCGAGACCTCTTTGACAACAGTTCATCTGCTGTGAAAGTTTTCACTTTACTTGACATGACACTCCATGCGTATGTACAGTCATAATTTAAGCCATATATGCTACTTGCAGATGGCATTTGACTACTAGAAGGCTGCATTCGATTTTGATATATGATATTTGACGAATTTGTAGAAGCAGTTGTTGAAGGCGAATGACTTTTCGGATCTATACGAAATTCAGACGAACCGGTTCTCTGTTGTAAGTTAGAGTCACTGCCCATATGTTTTGACAATGAAACTAGTGCATCAACTGCCGAGTCGTAAATGTTTCGTTGGTTATCATCAACTTTTTCTATTATTTTGCGATGAGAACTATATTCGTCCGTACTAGAAACCTTTTCATTCATTAACTCGATCGACTGACGCCGTGATTGGGTTTCCTCTCTTTTGATTGGTGGTGATGATATAGTCCGACTTGGAGACATAAATACTGGGTTAACTTGATTCTTCATCGGAGAATTCCGTTCAGGTTCCGATGACACAAGGGAAATAACTCCACGAGTTGGCTGATGATGTTGATGACTGTATGCATTGTTTTGTTGACTTGATGACGTAACAGGTTTGTTAGAAAATGAATCAGACGACTGTTTATTTACTTGCTGTGTGTATTGTTTGTATTGTGGTGAACTCTGAACTTGATGATTGACCAATGGTAATGACGGGCGATTAGGGGAGACAACTGAGGATGGCTGGTTTTCTGTCGATTTTTGTTCTCTTAATACTTTCCGTATTGTAAATCTGTCTCTGAACACAGAAAACGCATCCTGAATGTCTTCTTCACAAAATTCAAACAACATTTGTCCTGTAATTTCATTTTCTGAAAAAAGAGTATAAATGTTTTTGTTAGCAAAGAAACTTTCATTTTCATTGCAAAATAACTGTATTAAATATATGGAGATCTTTAAAAATATTTTTCGTTACAAATTACACCACGTAAAACACTCCATTGAAAGATTATTATCGTTGTCTCTTCCCTGTACCACAAAGCATATACACGATTTCGTATAAGCCGTATATTATCAAACTTAATAGAACGTGTGTTTTTTATTCAAACGGAGGTGATTGATAGATGAATGGATGGTTGTGTATAGACCTGCTTCAAATTTTGAACTGATATAATTCTTAACATTATTTCCTGCTTTACGACAACAATTTAAGTCTTTTACAATGACCCGCCAGGATAAGAACAAGAGATTTCCTACACTCAAAGAAACCAAGCTCCGCCTCCAGTATGCTTTGAACTTCAACTTTAACAGGAATTATCTCCCATTCAACACGATATTTTAGTTCTACTTTAAGATATCAGTTATTTAAAAACAAATCAATAATACAAAACCTGATTACACAAATTATAAACCCCTTTTCAGGAGCAAACAACTTATAAATCCTGAATCTAAACTTTAGACAACAGTTAGCGACTTAATAAAGCAAGCTTTAGCTGAGTTGCGAAAATAGTTACATGGCCATCAACAAGTTGCATTTTGATAACTATGTTTCTGTTTTATATGTTCAGGGGCAGGTCCAGGTGAGGGCGTAATGGGCGTACGCCCCACCCCCCCCCCTTTTCAAAAAAAACTATCGTAATCTGCTAATATTGTAATGAATATGGCAATTTATGCATTATACAATTATTTATGTTTTTTAGCCAAAAAAAATGTCCAAAAATGTTTTCGCCTCGATCCGCTCGGCGAAAGATTTGATTCTACGCCCCCTCTTTCAAATATCATAGAAACGCCCCTGATGTTTACACTTGTAGTTATTCACTGTTGTGTTAATACTGTGGTATATTATGTGTTTAAGTTTGACCCGTATGGGTGTAATTTGCAAAATAGAATTACTAATATATTGATCTCCTTATTTTTATATAAATAGCCATGATAGTATATGTTGTCGATTTTCAGTCTTTCTGTGTTCAATGTTTTGCGCCACTTTTGTCTTTTTTTATCTGAAACCGCCTCGGTGGTCTCGTGGTAGCGTGTTCGCCTCGAGTGCGGGAGGTCGTGGGTTCGAACACCGGACGGGTCAAATCAAAGACTTTAAAATTGCTGCTTCTCCAGTAAGCACGCGGCATTAAGGAGTGGGAGCAGAGACTGGTCGGCTCGGAGTCAGAATAATGTGTCCGGGTAAGGTGACATGTCTTCCTGAAGACGTTACCTTGTGAACTATCACGTTAAAAATCCGGATCAGCGTGTCGGTCTAGTATAATGCAGGGTTAATATTCATATTACATAATTATATAATGAATTTGTTCTCGTCCTGAATATGCATATTAATTTGCCATGGAACGTTAAGCAGCCATCCATCATCATCATTATCATCATCTTTTTTAACTACGATTTTTTTATAAATTCCTCTGTTATGTACTAACAATACTCCTAGACAGCTGAGATTATGCATTTAATTAACATATTCGAAGATGAAAAACATTTTTTATTAGATTGTGAATTAAATAGGGAACTGAGAAACAACTTTTTTTGAGAATTTGGAAATAAACTTTTCTGTTAAAGATTTATCTGGTGAAGAAAATGTGATGTTTATACTCAATCCATCAACACCATCAGATTCACAAGTAAATAAATTGGGGTCCTACATTATCAAGTCATAGAACTGAGGACAGGGGACTCTGGACTATTTACTGTTATTAAATGATTGTGTATATATGTGTGAATTTCAGTTATATTGTATACTTGTATACTTATTTTGTATTAATCACAAACTTATTGTTTAAGTTTATATGGCAATAAACATTTGAATTGAATTGAATTGAATTGAATTGAATTATTGAATTGAATTGAATTGAATTGAATTGAATTGAATTGAATTGAATTGAATTGAATTGAATTGAATATGTCTACCATAGAATAATTTAGAAATAGAAAAGGTCGTCATTATAAAATTCTCAGAACGTATAGAATATTTAAACTGTGTCACTTGCTGGAGGATGAAAATCACTTCCTCCTTGAAAGTAAAATTAACAAAAATCTAAGGGTAATCTATTTGAAAATTGTTATCTACTCATAGTTTTATGTTTCTTACCCAAGAACAAAAAGTAAAATAAATGATAAAACCCCTCTTTAATGGAACAATAATGTAAAAAATACTGGCTCCTTTATAAAACAGTCATTAGAACTGAGGGCAGAAGTCTTATAATGATTTTCTATGCGTACATTTATAATAGAATTGTTATTTCTTTGTTATATTATGTTTTGTTTTGTCTTGTGACAAACTAAATATGTTTATATAACAATAAAGATATTATCATGATGTAAGATAACGGTATTATGTAAACGGAAAAAGAGCCGGAAGGTACGTGTTATTTTTTTTAACAATCAAATGTACTGTTCCCCCGTCTCAACATCATTCAGAACAACAACAAAAATATGTACTTCCTTCTTTGGCAATTTTCTGTGTCACTATTATCACAGCAGAGGGTCTGGGTAGAATTTTTCATTTCTGTATTCTCTTTTTAGATAATTTTCTCTGTTTTGTTTTTTTTTTTATTTTGGCTCATTATCTCTTTTCTTTATATTCTCTATTCTTTATTTTTTGGGGTATATTTATTCTCTATTCTTAATTTTTTTTTGTCCTCTATTCTTTTTATTTTTGCCAATTATTATCTATTCTGTAAACCCAATTTGGACCGTCATCGCAATCTAAAAATGAGATTTCATGATTAACTTTCCTCTTTAAGTAAAAAAATAAGGAAAGGTAAATATTCTTTATGTTTCTGCTATTTGTTTTTTTGTTTTTTTTTGCCTTGAGTAAATACGAAGGAGAGCCGTAATGCTGTCCCGAATATCTACCAAAACTGCCATTCAAAACTTTAGGAATGATCGTAAAACCCTTTACACAAGAATCTATCTTGTTTATCGTGGCCTTGCAAGTATTCAAATGAGATGATCTTAACCGTGTCAATGACAACAAAGTCATTAATTTATCATCAAATCATATCGGAGGCGGATTAGGGGCAAGGGCCCCCCCCTTTGTGGAACGTATACATGTTCCACTCTTTATGTTGCCTAGTTTGGGGTCCCCCTTTTTCAAAATACTGAATCTGCATCTCCATTTGACCCATGCCATGCTAGTGGAATGATAACCCTCATTGGGGCTATCTAAAAGTGGCTTGGTAGCAATTAATCGATCATTATCTTTTGGTTTGTAGACGATGAATAATCAGATGATTGCCCCTTTTCCCCCATTCCCCCGAAATTAAATGAAACACGACAAGAAGTGCCATATTGGACTCCCCCTCTTTCTTGTGACATAGAAAACCGTTTCAGTTCAAGAGTTTTATACACTAAAAATATTTCATTTAACATTTTTTTACCTGTAATACTTTTCTTTCCCGTATCAGATAATCCTTTGTTTGCAAGAAATGTTGACAGCTCGATATAATTCATCCGTTTAACACTCATGACTGATATCAATGAATCTGGGTCACCTTGTACAATTTCACTGCACTTTTTAACAGATCATTTCCTTCCGAAACAGTTGCGATTTACCCTTCTTCCATTTACAGTTCTATTGCATGATAGTTCCATTAATTATAATTGTACGACTATGAACTCATTAATATATGATGAACAATGACACACGTAATGGCCATGAACGGTGACTAAATTAATTGCTTTTACAACAATAGGTTTATAGTCTATTTCAATTTACTTCATATGATAAACTTCGATATTGCATTACAATGTATAGTCTATTTCATTTTTATGTTCTTGTCGTCTGCATTTTGTCAGAAAAATAGGAATTTACCAAGTCTTCATTTATAAAAGATTTATTAATCGACTCTTCATTTAGGAAAAGTGTATCTTGAACTGTTTTTGGTTTACTGTGTAAGTCCATTTAGTTTTGTTGTCAATTCAATCTATAGATGTTGCTTAGGCACCGATCATTAATCTCAATTGTTTTTTTAAAGAGGGGGGACGTTTTTTAAATGAATTATTTGATTCTAAATATCTTAAAGAAATATATTTGTTTCAGATGGAAAGTACAAATAGTTTGTTTTTATCAAAGATAAGTGAGAAAAAATATTGACAGAAAAAAGATTGTCTTGTTCCAGTATGTTATTAAAACAAATAGTTTTTATTTAAGTTGGAAAAAACTGTTCGTCCTGCTAAGTGTGGGGTTCGAACTCGAAACATTTGGGTTGACAGGAATACAATACAGGAAGAAGCGACCCGAAGCTTGGAAGCCTTTAACGGGAAGAAGGGGGGAAATTTGGACACTTTCCGGGTTTCCGACATTTCCAAAATGTTTTCCTGACTGTTTCTGTCTACCTGCGCGTTAGGAATGTCATGAAGTCGAATATAAAGTAGTTAACAATAAAAGCTATCAGGTTTCGGAATTGCTCTTTCAATCTCTGTTCAATAGATTTATTGTCTTTTTGGTATATAATACTTTTCTTGTGCAATAATAGACTATTTTTATATTACCGACTTTTGACTCCGGATTATATAATATTTCGACAGTTTACCTTCTCTGTTGTACATGTAGGACACACTGGTACTCGGTCAAGTAAGAGCAACCAAAAGAAGTAAAATCAAACATGTAATCGGTGCAATTTTGGGGGGGGGGGGGGAAGTTTACTGTTTTCCGATTATTTTGTCATGAAACAGTTAATTTTCCGCCCAAATTGTACCGATTGTAAGCTTGATTTTACTTTTTAAGTTACTTGACCACTGAGTAGGTAACCTGTCGAATATTAAGTCCGGAGTCAAAAGTCGGTAATATGAAAATAGTCTTGGCAATTACTAATTTATATTTTGAGGTCTAACATTTCCCTTTTCTTTTCTGCATCGAAATTCTGTGCATATTTTTTTAAACCGCATTAACTGATTTTTTTTCTAATGTTATGTTCTTACTGTATTTTTCAGTGATTAATTCGGAATTAAACGTTTATATTGAACCAATTTTGAATTTGTTTCGTAAAAACATATTTGACCATGGATTAAAAAGCTATGATTTAACTGGCGGTTAAAGATTGGCACAATTCTTTGCTTTGTATTATTTATCTAATTCATTTATTACGTTATGATTTAATTTTGGATGTAACACGTCTTCTGATTGGCTGAAAGTGTTTTGTCTATCAGCTCATAGACATAATTTTGTCATGTGACCGCGACGTCATTAACGTTTTTTTTTCATGATTTACTCCTTTTTAGAATTAAATTATAAGAAATGACTGTAACATTTTTTCTGTCTATTCGAAATAACATAAACAATGTGGTGCACACTTTTTTTTTAGTGTTACATTGTTTATGTAATTTCTTCATAGACAGAAAAAATATTACAGTCATTCCTTAATGACAGAAATATTGTTCGTCCATTACCGACTGATTCACGATTTCTGATGTCGAAATGGTAACTTCATCCACGAAGCGAGCAGAAGTTTCAATATTTTTTTCTGATCGAAATATACATGTTAGTCTTTCGTTTGAATTGTTTTGCATTTGTCATTTCGGGGCCTTTAATAGCTGAATTTGCGGTATGCGTTTTGTTCATTGTTGAAGGCCGTATGGTGACCTATTACAGTTGTTTACTTCTGTATGTCAATTGTTCTCTGGCGGAGAGTTGTCTCATTGGCAGTCATACCACATCTTAATTCTTATTTTTATATGAACAGATCGATGTACATATAAGAACAAGAGATGTGTTATGACTACTATCTAAATAACTGTCGACCAAAAGATCAAAGGACAACGGGAGTGGATTCAGAGTGTACCAACAGGCGTGACATCAAAACCTGATCGCTCTAATCGACGAAAATATTAGGATCACGCCACATAACTCAAATCCGGGATAAAGACGTTACAAGAATATATTTATTAGGGACAAGAGTGTAACAAAAATTTATAATTTATCTTTTCATCATCTTCAGATAATCTATAAATTTATATAACGCTTGTTGTTATTTAAACACATCGTGACTATACGACAACTCCAACTACCCTAAAATGATGATTGGAATTAGAGTTGTCTTTCTTTTGTCAAGTCTTCAAAGTCTCATTTTGCCTATTCTATATCGGACATCAAATTGTTAAATTTTTAAAATGTACTTTTTTAAAGCGTAACAATCTTTTTAAAGATCCAAATCATTACTGTGGTCACTTGTGGATAGTTGTCTCGATAATTAACCATCATGACACACTTTTATATACATGTACATAGTATAATGGCTTAATCTAGTAATACCTTTGGTTTTCTAGGATTTGTGTTTAAAAAGTCATAACCCTAATATTTCGAAGTATATACAGTGTATATATATATATATATATATATATATATATATAAGTGGTTGACATAATTTTATACGTGCATTATGGCAGGTATGTCATGTTTAATTCCTATAGGATGGTTGGATTTAAACGTCCGGTGACACATATTTCGTGAATTCTAACATATTGATGTACTGTTAATATGAACCGTATTTGTCCCATAAAGATACTGGATATTGACGTTCCAGTTTAAAAGGTAAAGATTTACAGGAAGACATCCCAATTAAACACATTATTCTACCAACGAGCTGACCATGCGCAGTATTTGGTCCCACTCCTAAATGCGCATCGTGTTTAACGGAGTTGTCATGGGCACCATGCATTTTTACACCTTTGATTTGACGAGATCATGGATCGAAACAACTATTGTCTCCCGAGCGTTCTTTAGAGGTCAAGCCGAAAAACACCAAGCCGTGCTTAAATACAATAGACAGGACGTACAAATGGGGAAAAAAACTCTCAATCAATTATCCAGAATCAAGATATTCTGACAACTATATAAAATACATTTGACAACATTTGATATGAAATAAAAGAACAGTTATATAGCGACGAAGTAACGTGTTTATTACTATCTTGTCAGTACAACTAAATGTGTAATGACAGCGGACGTGTAAGAAAATTCCCCTTTTTCTTATATAGCAACTTTCAGTATTTGCAAACGGTGCGAAATGTTCTAGTCATTCAACTTTATTTGACTCTCAATAAAATGAACGGTTAAGAGTATGTTGACCTACTAAGTTTTTAATATTTTGACCATTTGATACAATCTGCCAAATACGGAGGTATTGTTTGAGCTTTTCTTTGGCCCTTGGACTGAAAAATGGTAAAACTATTCAATTAAGACTAATAAGATATGTGAATGGTATTGATATAGGATGAAATTTGAAAAAATAGGCAGTACGAGTATTGAGTAAAAAAAAAAGGCAGGATGAGACACTTTTCAAAAAAAAAAGGTAGGATGACAATTTAAGAAAAAAAAGTCAGGATAAGCTAAAAAAAAAAAGGCAGGACCGAATAGAGTGAAAAATAAAAAGGCAGGACAGAGATTACAACTAAAAAAAAATGCAGGACAACATTTTTCATCCTAGTCTCCCCATAAAAATCAAATGGCAGCTCCCTTAATGAGGGTAGTAATGCCCTTTACCGTCAGTCGTCAAACTGCCATTTTCGGCAACCGTTAGCGTCATATTGGTTAAAATTTTACCGCGATTCGTCAAAATATCCTTGTCGTGATTCGTCAGAGGTCTCAAATGATTATCGTTACCGTTATTTTTGGAAAAAAATTAACGTGATTCGTCAAAATCTGTCGATTTTTTTAACGTCTAAAACAAAGTGTACATTTTATCGTCATACAGCAAAAAATACCGTTAACGTCATTTGGCAAGAATTTGTACCGTTATTCGTCATGAAGGTACCCCCATTACGACCCTCCTTAATGACAAGATCTCAAAATGAGGCTATTTGGCAGATATACGGAGTTTTGCAAGAAGTTTGAAGCCGAGATGCAAGTTTGTCATACAAAATTAACTTAAAAATAGCAATATATCACAAAGATATAGACGAAACGAACTTGTGTATATATGTATTTGGTTTTCGTTTGTGTGAAATTTATTACTCATTCTTACTTACTCTCATATTTTTCGATCTGATGGCATTCACTAAATGATACATCTGTTGTTGTTCAAGATATGTGCATCAAACAGATTAATGTTGTGTGGTGTTCAAGTATTGAATATTGGTGTATAAATACCTTTTGGGATGTATAATTGATTGATTGATTTTTGGAGTTTAATTCCACTTTAAGCACTAATGGCTATTTCGTGGCGCCCAGTTTTAATTGGTTGAGGAAGCCGGAATGACCGGGGAGAACCACCAACCTTCAGCAGGAAATCTGACAATCTTGGCCAATTTGAATAGATTGTAATCGAACGCACCTTCCACTTCGGTGTTATAATCAGTGTTGGCAGTCTAGTGATTCAATAGTTGAACTACTTAGACCACTCGACCACCGACCGACTCGCCTCTGAAATGTATAACTGCACACACGCGATGTATATGTACACAATCAAGGTATGTATATATAAATTCAACATTTTTTTTTATTATTTCCAGTATATTTTATTATGCAATGATGTTTGTTCTATTCGTGTATCGATTTTGTGTCATGAACTAATATACAGATGCGCAAGTACACAGTTCCATGTCCACTTAAACATGATGGTTTACTCGCAACTGCATCATAGTTTCAAATTTACAATAGAAATGACAACCTCATGTTTCATTATTCAAAACTCTGTCACGTTACAAAATCTTGCACAATGGTAATCAAAGGGAAAGTGTTGCGTATTTA